AAACTTTCTCACTGACAAAGCATCAGAAGTGAAAAAAAAAAGCCTATGAAGAGCGAATCTGAATCACCTGAATATAATAAAATTACCCCCACCCTCAAAAAATATAACATAATTTTCTTGACACACTGAAAAAGGAAGCTATTTTTTTCCAGACAGATACAGATGGAAGGTGGTAGAGAGAGAAGAAGTACCATTCTGTAACTATTTTTTTGTGAGCAATTTCCTATGCGAAGCCTCTTCCACATTTTCTCATTTACTCTCCCGAATAGGCCTCCAAGGTGTACTATTTCCCTGTTTTACAAATGGGTGCACTCAGGGGAAGCCTCGTTGTGAACTATTTTGTCTCATCTTCTGCATATAACTTTGGTTAAGCAGCTTGTTTCCAGCGAGTGCAGTCAAGTCCTTGTAATTCAAATTCCCTGGCAATTTGAATGAACACTGCACCTTGAGCAATTTTTTCCCCCTTTTTTGTCCTTAATAACCCCCTGCATACAGTCATCAGGGCTTCAGTTATGCTGGTGATATGGGTGAGTGGTACAGCCATGTATCCAAAAAACAAACTCAACAACACTGAACACATGAAATCTAAAATGCAACCACAGGAACTTTGTCATGTGCCTGTCAAGTTGACAGGCAGGAGATGGGGTGAAGATTGGGGCTGAGGAGGGAAGATGGAAACAATGGTGGAGGGAAAAACTAATAGTGGGATTGGTGTTGAAATATTATATGCCTAAAATTCAACTACCAATAACTTTGTAAATCAGAGTTCTATAATTAATTTTTTTTAAAAAGCCTTGCGGGGGCTAGAGCGATAGCACAGCAGTAGGGCATTTGCCTTGCACACAGCCAACATGGCCGACCCGAGTTCGATTCCTCCGCCCCTCTCGGAGAGCCCGGCAAGCTACCGAGTATCTCGCCAGCATGGCAGAGCCTGGCAAGCTCCCCGTGAAGTATTTGATATGCCAAACACAGTAACAACAAAGTCTCCAATGGAGATGTTACTGGGCCCGCTCGAGCAAATCGACGAACAACGGGAGGGCCTTTACCTTTACCTTACCTTAAAAAGCCTTGCATTGGACTGGAGAGATAGTACAGTGGGCAAGACATTTGCCTTGCCTGTGACTAAGCCTGGTTGGATCCCTGGTACTACACATGGTCCCCGAAGCATTGTCAGGGGTGATCCCTGAGCACAGAGCCTGGGGTTAAGCCCTGGGAACCACAGGATGTGGTCTCACTTTCCCCACCATCCCTCCCCTTGCAAACAAACAACAACAAAACCCCCCAAAAACAACAACAACAAAACAACCCATCTTTGTTCAGAGTTTTGGAGGTATCCGCCCTAAGCATACAAAGTTCTGGGCAGCCAGGCAATAGCCCACTGGTTACAAGGTCAAGGGCAGATCTGCCGCAGCCACTGTGTAGAGTTGGGCTGAGCTGAGTGCAGGCACTAACAGGTAACAGAGCTCCCCCAAGTGCAGACATGCTCAGACTTCTCCCACTTCGGCTGGTCCCACAATGGTCTTGTGGACCTCAAGCATCTCCCTTCTTCAGCCCTTGAATGTGAGTTTTCTCAGACACTGATTCAAGTTCCATGAATCCACAAAGTGTAAGAGCAGGAAGGGGTCTTGGAAAGCTATTATGTGGGATGCCAAAGAGATAAGACAGTGGACAAGGCACCTGTCTTTCCTGTGGCCAGCCCCTAAGCACAGAGTAAGGAGGAAGTCCTGAGCACCTCTGGGCATGGTTCCCCCAAACAAAAATCAAACCCCAAACAGTGGCAGTCTTCCTTCCTGCCCCATCAGCGGACATTGCTAATCTGTTATAGCACAATCATTTCTGGCTATATTTCACCTTTGTTTTAATATTACGGTCCTGCAGCCACAACCAACTGAGCAGAATTAGCCTGTGAAATCTCTACCACCCCCAGTTTATCCGAGTCCCCTCATCTGAACAGGATGCATCAGAGAGAGCCTGACAAAGCCAGGGATCAAGACATCTTCTGAGCACTTTGCCTTTGTTGCTGCCCCCAGAAATGCCCTCTTACCCTTGTTCCCTTCACTAGAGGTAGTAATTGGGGGTAGATGCCAGGGAGATGCGTGGGGAACAAGGGACTGGGATAAGTGACTTTAAGACATCAAAGTACAGAGGCTAAGCAGATATCACATACATTTTTGCTTAAAATTGGGATCCTTCTATGTTTCATGCAAAGCTCACTCTACGTTGCAAGTGTCCTACTCAGGCATGTAATGGAACCCTGAAAAATGTTCCAGGAAAATGCGACTTTCATTAGAAACACACTCCAAATTCTGGTGCAGTGACTGGTGCTTTTGTAAAGTGACACATCATTGGAAAATCTGTCTTCGGCGAGGAGACAGCCAGGCAGGCCACACTGGGGAGCGACGGCCATGGACATTGGCTGTGAGACATGAGGTAACATTGTTCCCCAGGCTGGACATTGGAATGAACTCCCATTTGAGCCAGCACTGCCCTTCGCTCAGAACGATGCTGCTCAGCTCTCGAGATGGCTTCTACATGGGAAGGAAACGCATAGGAAGTATCCTGCTCACCTGGGACACAGAGGTTTGTCAAAACCAACATGGATCCCCAGAGGGACTCTTAGGAGAAGCAGAGTCACTTTCTTACAGCCAGTCTGAATGACAGAGTGGCCTTCCCTCTCCCCGCCCCATCACTAACCCCCGCTTTCCTGCAGCTGAGCCAGGGCATCTGACTCTCAAGCCCAGAGCTCTGTCTTCTGGCCCCTGCTGCTCTTTCTTATTCCAACCTGGAACTCAAATCAAGGTCAGGCCCAACATCTAGGACCAGAATCGGAGATTATTTCATGGGCTGGACAGGTAAGGTGCTTGCCTTGCATGAGGCTGACCCTAGTTTGATTCCTGGGATCATGTATAAACCCCCAAGCACTGCCAAGAGTGATCCCTGAACTCAGAGCCAGAAGTAAGCCCTGAGCACTGCTGAGTGTAGCTCAAAGACCAAAAAAAAAAAAAAAAAAAAAAAAAAAAAAAAAAAAAAAGAGAGAGAGAAAAAAGAGTTTCATTTTATGAGCAAGTAACTATGGAACAGGGTCAAACAGTTTTACACGAGTGAATTTGAAAACGCTCCTAGCTACCGTACGCAGTAGGAATGCACAATAGCCCCTTTGACAAAAGAGACAGAAGCCCAGGGAGGCCAGCAACTTGCTCGAGGCCCCACCACAAGCAGAAGTGGACCTGAACCTGGTCAGTCTGAATTGAGGCTGGTACTCTGCATCCCTGACGGGCCTTCCTGGTTTCCCCTGTCAGTCATCTGAACACCATCACACACCATCACTGATTACACAGTCACCTGAGCACAGGCTGGAGTCTGTGAAGCCAGGACACAGTTTGTCTTTCCAGCCTGTGTCCTGCTGACAGAAGTTCCAGGGAAGCACTAAGTCAGACTCAAATTCACTGCCCCCCTCCCCTGACCCCCATAGCCCCCTGCTGCTCTGGGTACCTCACTGTTTTCCCCTGGCCCCAATCTTCATAAGGGAACACAAGAAACCCCTGACCTATCGATCTCAAGGTCAAATTCCAGGCTATTAGTTTCTTAAAGGAAACACCTCCGCATAGCATCTTGCTTTAGGGGCACCCTAGGTAAATCACAACAGACCCAGGTCTGGTCACGAAGCACCCTGGAAGGTAGCAGGCATGCTGTTCACTCTCCCATTCCTATGCAACGGCGATATTTCCCCTCAGGTCTGCGGAATCCTGCTCCAGTGGCTGAGCTTTCGATCACTCCAGTGGGGTGCTGGTCCTGTCCTGGTCAGAGGACCCCCACTCCCTTGAGAATCTTCCTCCTATTAGGTGCAGGGTTTGGGTATTTTTCTGCTTTCCCTCTTGCTGTGTGGTCTGGATTCTGCGTGACATATTTCTAAGGTATATCACTAGCTGGCAAATTTTTTTGGAGTCCTGATCTAGGAGTTTCTGAGTAGGACCCCCAACATGATTTAAGAGGTGCCTCCCCTCCAACTCTTGCCCCTAGACCAGGTGTTGAAAGTCGTGGGGAGAGATTTTCTAGTCAGGGTGGGGTTTTTTTCTTTTTGGGTCACACCTGGCGATGCCTAAGAATTACTTCTGGCTTTGCACTTAGGAATTATTCCTGCGGTGCTTGGGGGACCATATGGAATGTTGGGAATCGAACCCGCTTTGGCTGTGTGCAAGGCAAACGCCCTACCCACTGTGCTATCGCTACAGCTCCTAGTGGGGGTGCTTTTACAGACCTTGGAGGACCTAGAATCCACGAGGTGTGGTGTGAGGAGGCAGAGTGGGTGAGAGGCACAAGCTCACGTGGACTGCCATGTGGCACTCTCAGCATGGCCTGTTCGATGTTCCAGTTGCCGAACTCTCCAGAAGCTACTGCGTGAGGCTGTCCTCTGCCTTCTTATCCACAGACCAAATGCACATGTTATGCCTCCCCATGCAACACCTCCCAGGACTGCTTGGCTGACCTGTCCTTGGGTCCTTCCAGCCACAGGAAGGAACCTCATGCCCGTGGCTCTTTTGTAAGTCACGTTTGCTGAAGTTGATGAACTTCCATCCACCTTTCACTTCTGGGCCAGCCACTGCCCTCAAGACTCATGAGGGTGGCTTTCTGCCCCATCGCCTCCACAGTTGGCATCCCCACAGCACGAGTGCCCCAATTCTATTTTCTGGTTTGAAACTCCCCAACAGTCCTGCGACTGGTGAGTGTAGCAGCTGCCCCCTGAGTGTGGACAGGGAAGCCAGACATCTGCAGGCTTGTCCGGCTTCTGCGGGGGTGGGGAGGTGGGGGGCTGGCCGAATCCCAGCAGGTACCCAGGGTATCATTCCTGATGGTCTGCCGTTCCCAGTTTGCAGGTGCTTCTGGAGGGCAGCTCCTCGGTGGGCTCAGACCCTGCCGTCCTGCCCCCTTCTAGTCATTTCCATCCCCTCCTGGAAATTCGACCCTGCCCCCAGCCTTTGCCCGAATACCCAGCCACTCACCAGTCCCGGGTAGCTCACATCCTGGGAACCTTTGCCTGTGTGATTCTGAGAGAGGGCAGTGTGTTGAGATCTGCAAAGAAGAGAAACTGCATTAAAGGCGGGGTACAGCCATGAGGTACCCAACTCTCTTTCCAGGAATGCCGGGCTCCTGGCAAAGGAAATGATAGAACCGAGGTGCTGATTAAACTGACCTCAAAAATCTCTGGGCTTTGTGACCATCATGGGAAGGAAGAAAAAAAAAATCGAAAACAAAAGAAGACCCTCATTCTGGGTGAGTCAGCAGCTTTCGGAGAGGCGGGCTTTGGGGAAGAATGACACTCGAAGCAAGAGGAGATGGGGGGCATGGGGTGGCGCCTCTGGAGTCTCACCCCCAGTCTGTGATGTCTATTCCTGGAGGCCGGGTGGAGTGGGGGTGGGGGGACACTCTGTGGTTCCAGTTTGGGGAGGATAAAGCAGGAGAGCTGAGCGCACAGGCCTCCCCTGGAAAAGACACTTAAAACAGGGCTTAAAGCAAAAGCCCTCAGTGCTGTCGTATTTATATCCAGGGAGACTCCTGCCAAGCGAACCCTGTGTGCTTAAAAAAATTCCTCAGAACTGTAGCTGGAGGAAGCAGGTGAGTACCCCGGGGCTCCTGGGATGCAGCAAGTTGGGACCTGGAGGCATGGCTGGGTGAATTGGAGCTCATTGCTCCCTGGACCCATCTGAGAAGGCTGCAACACCTTCCCCTCTCCCCACCCAGCCTGTCTTTAAGGCCAAACTTCAAACTTGTTTTTTCTTGTTTTTCTCAGAATTCCGAGGGGAGCAGAGGTTTCTCTGATCATCCATCCTTGTTCTTGGGGGGAGGAGGGGCAGGGCGGGGAGAGATGGAGGTGAGGGCTCAGTTATCTTTTATTTTTTTCCATAATTGTTTTTATTTTATAAGGTCACTGTCACTGTCACTGTCACTGTCACTGTCCTCCCATTGTTCATCAATTTGCTCGAGTGGGCCCAGTAACGTCCCTATTTTGAGACTTGTTGTTACTGTGTTTGGCATATTGAATATGTCATGGGTAGCTTGCCAGGCTTTGCCACGTGGGCAAGAGTCTCTCAGTAGCTTGCTGGGCTCTCTGAGAGGGGTGGAGGAATCGAACCCAGCTCGTTCGGGCTGACTGCACGCAAGGCAAACGCCGTACCACTGTGCTATCGCTCCAGCCCATTTTATAAAGTAGTTCACAATATTTGGTAGTTCACAATATTTGACTACATTCAACATTCAAACACCAATCCCACCACCATTACACCTTCCCACCACCAAATTTGGGGGATCACTCAGAGCTCAGCACTACAATCTGAAACACAGAGATTCCATCTCAAGCTCTGATTCCTGTCCCAAAGCACAACCGAAATAATATATTTTGTATTGTCTCTTATGAAGAACCACTGAAAATGCTTACAAAAAAGTATTCATATAGGAAATAGTGTGAGGATTGTTCTATTTTGGCAGGAACCATTAAGACATTCTTTAGGATATCACTAACATGTTGTTAAAGGTTGAGTGATGTGAGCTTTCGTATAGATTATATATATGTGTGTATATATATATGTATATATATATTTCCCTCTATGATTTGTTGCTTACTATCCAAACCCATCAAATGTGGTGTGATACTTATGGAGGATTGGTAAGGAGTGTCTTATGATGTGTTGAGAGCCTCATGTGTGAGGCTCGGCCTGAGCATACGGGGAGTGGCCTTGAGCGTGGGTGCAGTTGGGTTTTGGAGGTTTTCAGCTGCAGGGGCTGGGTCCCTTGGGGTGGGGATGGCTCTCACATGAGGGCTCAGTCATATTAATGGCAATAATTTGCGCTGACTTGAGGGCCTCATAGGGTCAGGCACACACACACACCTGATGTGTGTTCTTTTTAATCAAAGGGTCTGGAGCGGCTGCAAGGGTGATTCTCAGGCCCCACCCAGGCCCCAGGAATTCCAACTTGCTTTCTAAGCAGCTCCTCAGGTAATTCCTGAGTACATGAAGTCTGCAAAGTACTTCTTTGTGATTCTCTTAATACAAGAAGGAAGTAATTAATAATATAAAGAAGGAAAAGAAACATGGCATCATCCTGGTGATGGTGGGGTGGGGGAAAAGCCCGAGGTGGGAGACTGTTGAGGGTTCAAGCATCTGGAGGCCTGCATCAGGTATGATGGGGTGTGCCCATGTGTAACCATGGACCAGATGAAGACCCGATGGCTAGCCAATGACTGTCCAGGATTGCAACCCAACTGAAAGTGGCTTGACAACTTTCCACAAATCAGAACTGTGCTAGCCTGACAAAAACCCTCATTTGCATAAATAGAAGGAGTAGGACCTAGTCCCACCCTCTTGGCCTAAAAGAACACTCTGCAGGGCATTTACTCCCCTCAAGTGTTGGGGAGAATCTCTATGTTTCAGATTGTAGTGCTGAGCTCTGAGTGATCCCCCAAGCTGCAGTACATAGGCTGGTACACTGACGCTGCAAAGCCATTCCTGAAACTTGACCAAATGTCACATTTTGGGACAACAGAGACAAAGGAGGAAGGGAGGAAATCATAGATCATTCTCCAGCAAGTGGAACAGCAACTTGGCTATGGTGATTTTAGAAACTGGTAATGCTGAGTGATTTCCAAGTGAGTACTTCTCTTCAGCACAAACCTGTGGGGGAAACAAAATGAGAAAGAGAAGGAACAGATCCAGGGAGGAGAGGGGAAGCAGGGATTGACTTTCTTACTTTAATTCTCCTTCCTTCCTTCCTTCCTTCCTTCCTTCCTTCCTTCCTTCCTTCCTCACTCCCTCCCTACCTTCTCTCTCTCTCTCTTTCTTTCTTTCTTTCTTTCTTTCTTTCTTTCTTTCTTTCTTTCTTTCTTTCTTTCTTCTTTCTCCCCTCTCTCTTTTCTCCCTGTTTCTCTCTCTCTCTCTCTCTCTCTCTCTCTCTCTCTCTCTCTCTCTCTCTCTCTCTCTCTCCATTGTTGAGTCACACCCTGCAATGCTCAGGGCTTATTCCTGGCTCTGTTCTCAGGTGTGAATCCTGGTGGGGTTTTAGCGACCATATGTGTGGTGGGGATTGAACCCAAGTCAGCTACGTGTAAGGCAAGTGCCTTACCCACTGTACTATCAGTGTGCTACCACTTCCAGTAGCTTTCAAACTTCTAGGCTCTTTCCTGCAGGTGAATTCAAAGGCAGGTGTTTATTCCCAGGGATTCTCTTTATGATTTACACCCAGTGGGAGAGAGAACCCAGGAGACAGGCTACCCTGAGCATTCCTGGCATTGACTTGGAGGGAGGACAACACTTGGTAAAACTTTTGGTAGAACTGACCTCCATGAGCTAATCTGCTCTTTAGAAAGAACTTGGGCAGTGGTGTTACTTTGAGCCAGTTGAACAAAGCCTAGAGAGGCTGAGTGATTTTCCTGAGGACACACAGCTCTGGGGACAGCTGGGGTTGAGGTCACTTGACTCCAAACCAGAGAGGTCTGAGCTCAGCTGCTCCTGATGGGGAAAAGAGATCACACTGCAGGCTTAGGATGTTCCTGCTTGGTGTCATCAACTCCATCTGTCCTCACACTATCACTGCTCATAGATGGTTTATTGGCAAGATTCATGGGTCAAGAGGACAATTAGGTGTGTGACTGGTATCTTTCTTCATGTAAACTGGCCTATTGCTAATTTGGGTTTTAATCAGTTCCTCATGTATTACATCATATGTATGCCCTTCATCTGACTTACTTCCATAAGGCAGAGCAGCATATACACGGTGACGTCGGAAAACAGTATCAGTAAAATGTGGGAGTCACACCATGGGCATATTTTCCCAGTACTTTAGTGGTTTGTAACACCAAATGATGGGAGTCAGGTGCAAAATCCTACCAGGTGAACAAACCACGAGGGCTCCTCCTTGTGCAAACGCCCTCTTGCTCCTCTTCTCCACCTGGGTGACTGCGTGTTCCAAATGTGTGCATATCACTCCCTGATCTTGATGTGGAAACTGTGGACTAACCCCTCTACCAGCCACTGCTCTTCTACCTGGGACTTCCAACGGTGACAGCCATCACCGTCTACATCTGCAACTCAGCCTTCTCTAGCCAGCCCCTTCCATTCAGCTCCCTGCCTTTGGCTCTAAAAATAAAGTCCTATCATTATGCAAGTCCTACTATTAATATATTGTTTTTATTTCACAATGTAGACCAATTTCTGCCCCGTGAGTGTCCCATAGGAGTCCAAGTGGTTCCCAAACACTGTGATTAAAAATTTTGTTTTTCAGAACATAAGACCTTATGTATGTACTTATTTGTGGGTGAGAACCAGAGGTGCACTGGAGCTATTATGGGTTCCATGCTTGGGGTAACTCCCAGTGGTGCTTGGGAGACCATGGAGTGCTGGGGATTGGACCTAGGATTCTCTCACACAAAGCATTTACTCCAAGGCTAGAGAGATAGTACAGGAGGTTCAGCATTTGCCTTGCATGTTGCTGACTCCTGTTTGATGCCTGGCACCACATATGGTTTCCTGAGTATCTCCAGGAGTGCTTCTTAGAACAGAACCAGAAGTAAGCCCTGAACACAGCTGGAGGTGACCTCAATTCCTGTCCCCCTTCAAAGCATGCTTTCCAGCCCTTTGAGCTATCTCCCAGGTCTTAGAATGTCAGACTTTACAAGAACATATCTCACAGCAGAAATGCTTGCATAATGGGTGTCATGGTAAAGGTGCTGACATCAATAACAAAAGTAATATATAGTCCTTAAATAGTGAAAACAATAATATTCGATATTAGATATAGAAAGTGTTTCAAATTACAATCATTTATTGAGTACCTGTGTGTACCTCATTTCTTTACTCTAAGCAAAGGAAGACCATCAGGAAGAAAAACACAAAGACCATGACCAGGACTGGAGGGATTGTATAGTAGGTAGGGCGCTTGCCTGCATGCAGCAAACCCAGGTTTGATTCCCAGCATCCTATATGGTCTCCTGAGCACTGCCAAGAGTGATTCCTGAGTGCAGAGCCAGGAGCAATCCCTGAGCATACCTGGGTTTGGCTCCCAAATTAAAAAAAATTTCA